CATTTAAACATCCAATAAACAAATGTTGATGGTTACATAAAAAAAGTAACATTTCTTTGTATTTTATTTTTTTTTATTGTAATTCGCACATTCCGTCCTAAAAAACGAACGAAGCCAAGGAGTCAAATGGGCAACGCCTTTCTATTGACATGCATTGCTCGTGATGATGTGAGATCGGTTGACATCTCCTAAACTTCAAAGAGTTCGTCATGTCGATCACAAAGAAAACCCGACAAAGTACAACATGTCAATTGGTATCTTGATGAAAGTGGCAAGTGCAATGGTGTCTCTTATCATACACACTTAGAGCTAGCCCTTCTGTATTATTTTTAAAATATATACAATATATTTTCACACTGGTTCCATAACAAAAGTTGATGAAGCATAGTTCTAGATGGAAATTTCTCCAAATTTGTTTTTCATTTTTTCTTAGGTGTGCTTGAAAGAGTAAAAAAAGAAGTCGATGAATCATATTGAAGGGAAGGGGACAGAGACGGATAACAATAAGACCTTTGCTTTGAAAACGCCTCCCAATAACAAAATTCAAGTAAAACAAGTTTGGATAGCTTTCAAGTGAAGGGAAGAGAATATTAAAGAAACTCTATTTGTTTTGTCACCAGTGTAGGTTTCTTCAAATTTAATGAACCAACAATTTCTACTCCTGTTAGTTTAACAAATTTTCATACGAAATGACCATTAGTTTAAAATTGTTGAACTGAGACAAGATAGGCACTAATGCTACTTAGTGCAGTGAAAAAGAAAAGTCTAAAATTTAAATATTAAAATAGGCAAAGAAAATTGATTTTTTTCTTGATAAAAGTTAAATTATCTGTTTTTTCTTCAATCAAACAAGCAAAAAAATGGATGTTTTTCCATATTTTATTTCCTATCATCCGAAAAGATCATAAAAGGACACATTGCATGGGAGGACTTATTTTTTCATCCTCTTTTTCTCTCTCTCTCTCTCGCTATGTTCATGGTTCAAACAGTCCTAATTTTGCTTTCGATTACAAACCTGCCAATGTTGTTAACATCATTTTTACTACTCCAGCGAATTTAACACAGAAATATATATATATATCTAGGTTACATGATCTGAATCTTAGGTATGTCCTAAACATAGAGTCTGTAGACGTTGTTAATAAACTAAACTAGTTCTTTGTTGAACTACATATCAGACAATTAAAACTGCTCTATACTATTAATCATCTCTGCTTTACAGGTTCTCTTGTAATGTCCAGTTTGATTACACCGACTACAGTGCACTGTATGTTTCTCACGACTAAGGTCATCCATACACATCCTTTTCTCAGGGCGTCCTGGTGGTCGCCGTAATTTTGGTGGCCGTATAACTAGGATATTATCATCCATAGAAGACTTATCTGTTTTACTCCATTCAAGTTTTGCTAGGATGGGGTGTATACACTCTGCATAGGTATTCCTGTAACTTGCAGCAGTAAAACACTTATGGGTAAAGGCATAGACATCCTTCCGACATGAGATAAGAGCAGCAGCAGCATGGGAACATGGAATACCATTTAGCTGCCAACCACGGCAGGAGCAAGTATGGCTGCCAATATTTACAATGTCAGATCGATCAGCTGAAAGAACCTCAAACTCTACTTCATCTGATCTAAGGACTTGATATGTAGATGCACGGTTGATGGCTTCAGTCATTAGCTTCTCAGCAGACGGGGCAAGTACAGAGCACCATGAGCTGCTTTTTAATCGCCTGTCATCAAACTCAGTTTTAAGCTTGCTATGAATCCGCTCCATCACCTGGACAATTGGCAATTCCCGTGCATCAAGAATCCATTTATTGAACTCGTCAATGTTAGAGGATAGATGGCCAAATCGTGTGCCTTTAAAATGCACAAGGGCCCATTGAGAAGGATGAAATCGCTGTAACCATTTAGCAGCTTCAGGAGAGACCTCCTCTATTTCAGCAAATTTTTCTTTATATGCAATGGTTGTGGTGGCATATGCAGCCTTCCACAGAAGATGGACAAGCCTAGTGTTCTTAAACTCTTTACTAATGCTTTCAGTCAAGTGACGCATGCAGAATGCATGAGAAGAACTTGGGAACATCCTTCTTACTGCATCCATAATACCCTTTTGCCCATCTGACAAAAATATAAACTCTGGCATGCATTCAGTATTCACCTCTAGTACCCTACGCAACTCAGACAGGAACCATGTCCAGCTGTCATCATTTTCTACATCAATAACACCAAAAGCAAGTGGAAACAACCCACCATCGGCATCAAAAGAAGTTGCTGAAAGCAATGTGCTAAGGTATTTGCTTTTCAGCTGGATTCCACCAAGTCCAACGATTGGCAAGCAGCCATTAACAAAACCATAGATGGATGCATGAAAGGAGACAAAAAGTCTCTGAAAACGGTTGTCTGTACCAGCAGTAAATACCTCTGCAACACTTCCAGGATTTCTTTTCTTAATTTCTTCACAGTATGAAGGAAGTACGTAGTATCCTTCTTCAGAAGATCCATATATAGCCGCAAGACCCCGCTCCTTTGCACGCCAAGCTTGCTTATAAGGTATAGTTATACCATATTGTTTTTGGATGTCATGTAAAATATCTTTTGGTTTATAATAGATATCATCTCGCAACCTTTCTTCAATGAAACTCACAATCCAATCAACAGAAGCTTGATGGTGGCCATTGTTTGCATTTCTCCCACAAGTATGTGTCCCATCAATACTTCTAATAGTAAATGTTGGGCCATTAGGGAGCTTGACAGCACGAATCCGCCATGGACAACCATCTGAGGCACACTTAGCAAAGTAGCGAATCAGGTCACTTTTAATAGTACGGAGTTCAAAATGCTGTGCAATGGCAGCTTCTTTAATTGCATTCCGGAATGCCTTCACATCAGGGAACTCTTGACCAACATAAAAATCGTAGTCTTCCATAGAGTCAAGATTTACTTATTTGTTATTAGCTTCTAACTTCTACGAGGTAATAATCAACCAGTCAAACCTGTAATAAACTAATAACAGTACCATTTTTTTCTATTGTATATGCAAAAGAAGCTTCCTCAACATAACAACCTGCAATTATCAAGCAAAAATATATTAAATATACATAAAACTTAAAATGGTCTGGTATATGTAAAAAAGAAAGCATCATCAAACATGCAGAACTCTACAGAAATAAAATGATAACTTCTTAAACAAATTATTGCATTATAAATATTATAATTGAGATATAAAATATTACATGCGAGGACATTGACACAAATATAAGCATATGTTTGCCAACCACTAAAGCCTTTTTGCAGTAGGTGGGTTGGGTATATGGTCCAAACAATATCCTCATGTTTTATCAAAAACCAATTCTCCTGGCCAACAATGGTTGGCACAATTGGTAATGCTAGACTGTGTCAATTAAGTTGACCAGGGCCTAAATGCAACTAGGGTCCATTGTTGGTGACCTATCTGTAAGGACACTCCTACAAGCACTAGTAGATCTTAGGGGCATCCATGACCTAAGAAGGGGGTAGCCACCCTTGGATCTAAAGTTTCCTCCAGCCAAAAAACGGTGTCATAATGCCCATTTAAATCTAAATCCGTTTTAATGGTTTCATTCAAAGGTTTTCTCAGTCTTCCTCTACCTCAAACTTTTGGGGGCTTTTACCATCTCTCAGTATGTGCCTCTTCTACTCTGTCTCAACTGCATTCATTCCTGATCTTATCTTTTCTTGTATGACCTCTGATTCTCGGTGTCCCTTTACTGCATAACAGTTGGACTAGAGCACCTTTACATCACAAATAACACCTTTAATTAACCCACCCTTCTTGATTCCAATGATTTGAATCATTTTTATTTCTTAATTGCTTTGTTTTAATAATAAAAAAAAAAAAATACTTATATTGCATGACATATAGTAATGTATAATCTCTCATTTCACCTCCCAAGCCTTAAAGGAAGCCGTGTGGTATCAAGGCTTCCTTCCCGAAGGATCACAACTTTATTTTATCATTTAACTCCTTCGTTGACACTCCCACTACAACTATATCATTTGAAAAATGGAAAAGAAAAAAAGGAAAAAAGAAAAAAAAAGAATCGAGGAACTAGCTCCTCCTCAATTTTTTGAGTAAGAACATAAAAGAGGTAACAAGATAAAGACGCAAGATTGACTCTGTATAAACCCATAGTTGTAGGAAAATCTTATGTGACTCAACCATGTGTTCGCACACTAGTTTTAATTCCATCACATATACCCAATCACAGGCCTTTTCTCAAATTTAATGAAAACAATAAGCGAAGTACATTAGTTAATTTTAAAAGAGAAACTTAATTCATTTTATCTTCTTGATTTATTCTCATATAAGTATTAATGGAAAAAACTATCCAAACTGAGCCTAAATATAAATCATGTACCGCAAATACCAAAGGGAGTGTAACTAGCATTTCTCTACAGTATTTTCTAAAAATTAAAATAACAACTCAATCTAAATTGGCAGGGATATTGATTTTAAGCAACAGTAAATTCAATCGTCTGCCCTTACTATTCCATTCTCAACCCTAACTGTTCCTGTACTCCTTCCTAATGAGAAGGAAAGTACAGGACATGATACTCTCTACAAAAGATCCTAGCTCCTCCTGCGAGAGGCAGAAGCCCACAAAAAAAAAAATAAAAGATAATCCAAATTTGTTAAGTAGAACTGAGTAGAAAGGCTCGCGTAACTGAAAATACTCTGTTCCAGCACAATAAGAACAAAACAAATAATTAACAAGAGCTGCAAAAATTGCATACAAAGTCACAGCATGAAACAACTCAAAATACCCACATACATCAAGGAACAAAATTAAAAGCAACCAGAATCACTATTAAAAGAAAAAAAAAAAGGAATTTTGTTGTGAACCTAAATAATAACAGAGAGATTAAATTCATCTGGAAACATAAAAGCAAGAAATTATGTAATTGGGAGGAGTAGAATCAAAGGAGAAAGAAAGAGAGGGAATTGGTAACCTGAACATGTGTGACGAAGAAAAAGAAGAGAGTGAGATCCGATGTAATATGAGTGGAGAGACAAAGACTAAGACAAAGCCAAAGACAAAGACAGTGAGGGATGGTATTACTGTGAGGCAAGGCAAGCTTTTGCTTAGGGTTGAAGATGAACTTGCATTTCTACTGTGTTGAATATGTTAGTTAATTGATTGATATTTAGTGGTCAAAATAAATATTTGAGGTAAACTTAATGTGAAAATCAATAAGTTATTAATATCATTAAATAAAGATATGAACATATTATAGGTACAATTAATTGTTTATAAACAAAATTATATTTTTATAAAGATTATTTTATATAAATAATATCGTGTCGTTTTCCTAATTTGACTAATGAATAATCCTTCCTATCACTGTTAATTAATTGTGTTGAAGTGATTTACTTGTCATTTTAGAAGAAATTTCGGGTAATTTCTTTATAGTTTAGTTAGTTTCTTTCATGCAAAATAACAAATATTTTTTCATAATCAATTTCATAAATAATATATTTTAAAAAATATATTTAAATATAATATTTTTAAATTTATTTATTCAATTAAACCTATTTACTATTTATATATAAAATAATTTATTTGATATTTTTTTTATTTCACGTATTTTTTATTATTCTATTTTTTATATTTTTATTTAATTTTTTTATTCTATTTTATTCTTCAATTAAAAATATTAAATTAAAATTTGATAAGATAAATATTTTATTATTTATAAAAATATTTAATTTAAAAATACTATAATTTAATATATTATATTAAAAAACATATTATAAATTTGAGATATTACAAATATTATTGTGATGTTATAATTATTAAGAAAAAATTAAATATTTATTTAAAAATAATTATTTTAATAAATATTTTTAAAAATTATCTAATTTAACTAATTATCATAATTCATGATTATATTATTAAATATAAAATATATTTAATTTATAAATATTTGATATTTTTTAACTAAATGAGTAATTATTTATTATAAAAATAATTTCAAATGAATTATTTACTCCATCATAAAAACAATTATTATTATTATAGTAAATAAAATTATTTATTATTATTATAATTTTAAATAATTAGATATTTTTTAGTTTTAATATTGATTTTAAAATATTTGTTTTAATATATTTTTATTAAATTTTAATATAAAAACAACATATGTGAAATAAAAAATAAAAAAAATAATAAGAAAAAAATGCATATAAACATTAAAAGACTAATTTTACTTCTCCATGGTAAGAATTAAAAGATGTTAAAGAAAACAAAACATGTTTCAATAGATTTTATTCAGCAATGCCTTTAAAGAAATTTAAAATAATTCAACATAAATTTATTTTACTTGAAAAAATTAAATTAAATTTTTGTGAAAAAATTTAACAAAATATTATGTTTAGGATTAAGTAAAAAATAAATTAAAGAAATACTAATAAAAAAGAAACCATCACAAAAATAGTTTCATCATTTAAATTAAATTTCGTTATTTTTACCATAAAAAATTCAGTTTTAATAATATTTAATATTTTTATTTGCTTCTTAGACGATGGAAAATTAACCAAATATGAATGGAAGAATATTTAACAATTTTATTTCAAATTTCATCGAAAATAATTATAGAAAAAATAATATAAAATGATAATAAAGAGTTATAGAAATTACCTTTTATTTTATATAATAATGACAATAATTTTTCATTTTGAAAAAAAAAAAGCTTTAAAGCAACAAGTCATGACAAAATTAAATGAACTTTTAACAACTAATTAACCTTTTCAAAGTTGTATTTATTAATATAAATCTGTGAAATGTAGCAGCAGTAAGTCAAATGAAAAAGTCAGAATAAAATATTTACTAAAAGAAGAAGATAGAAGCAAAACACTTGAATAGAAATACAAAACATATTTTCCCAAAGATATAATATATTAATTAATACAATTCTTCTATTTTATTATTTACATATATAGATGTTAATGAGTTGACTTCTAATTTTAAGTTATCAAATTATTTACATTAATTTGTAGAATTTTAATTTCTTTTACAATCTCTCTCTACTCAAATAATACATTTTATTATAAATCATTTTAAATTATCTTTAAAATGAATTACTCTGAAAAATTCTTCATGACTTTTCATCAAAGACTAGTACCAAATATTTTTCATGGTTGCAAACTTAACTTCATGACAAAAGAATGGAATACAAATTTACACATGAACGAACCTGTAAGTTAGTACCTGTGGCACCCATTATGCAGATAATGAATCTATACTTGTTCATAAAATTACAGTACAAGTTTTCTAGCATCTGTTATATGTCACTTGAACTTTGTAGCCTCCAAATAACCAGTAGACAAAGTTTTTATTACTGTAAATTGCAGTGGTGATTGCAATTTTGTTTCATCCTTCACATGAAAAATTACAGATATATGCGATTGTAATCATGGTTGCAATGTAGCTGAATGAATCCAATATTGCAATTGAAATTGCTGTCACAAACCATTTTCTAAAATCTTACTAGAGATAATTGACTTTTTAGGTTCAGGATGGATGATACTGGTTATGAATTAGTGCATGACAAATTGTAAATTTATCTGCTTGATGAAAAAGTGAATGGAGTGATGGTATAATATTCCTTGACAAATGCAGTGATGATATAATCCTTGGAGTTGTGGTTGCTTCAAATGTCAGACTACAACGACCTCTTGCTGCATCGTTTACTTAACTTGCCCCTCATCTAAGTGACAACGTATACCATACCATACTATTGAAGACAAAACAGTGTAGTTTTTTTATAACTCTAATGCTTGGAACTTTTTTTCTTGGCTCCCAAGTAAAACAAACATGTGATCTCTTCATTTTACCTTTGATTATACTATAATATTGGTTGTAGTGCACAAAATGAGTTTCCTAATCATGGAATGAGTTCCCTTTCTTATTCTTTGGCAAAGGTGGAATACTACATAAAGAAAGAATGTAGGAAAAGCGAGCCTTTATATATTCCATGCCTTTCCTTCATGTGTGTTCAATAAACAGGAGGGGCTCTGTAATATGCTGGCACAGTTGCAGGGAAGAACATTTGTCTCACTCCTTCAGCCTTAATAATCGGGAAAATTATGCCTGATGCACTCTGCCATATCAGGAAAAAGTATATTGATTCAAACTCAAATTTGATGCACTTGCACCATTTGGCAGTAACTAGTGGAAAGTATTAGCAGTGATGTGTGAAATATTCTTTATGTTGATTAAGCAAAAAAGGAAAGTAAAAAGTACTCACTGAAATCACCCTAACTCCAATCCACATCCGTTTTGGAGAAGGAAATGGTATGAGCAAGCGGCCAACACCATATACAGCTACTGCGAAGAAATGGAGAACCAAACTCAATGGACGAGGATTTAGACCAGATAGTAGAGCTATTGGTCCATTAGAGAAAACACCTCCAAGGCTCAAGTAATCAAAACATGCTTGGCGCATTTCCTTTCTAGCTGGATCAGGAGATGCACAAAACACTTTGTACAATGCCCCAGCTAGTGTGTTTATTGTGGATGCCACTGGCTGCAAAGAAAATCAACAATTGCAATAAGTTTTTGTGTATTTTGGTTGGTTTTAAAGATTTACACTAAGTTACAAGAAGGCCAAAAGTTATGTTTATAAAACACTTACCTTGCGCAGGGTGTAGAATGATTCAAGGTATCTGCAAAGAGCAGAAGCATCATGCAGATTTGGAAGGGGTTTAAGTAGATCCCTTAGCACAACAATGTCAGATAAAGCCACAGTCATTCCTCCTCCTGTTAAAGGGTGACGCATATTGAAGGCATCTCCCATTAGAAGGGCACCGGGTGTGGGATAAGGTGAGGCAGGCATGCTTCTATTTGGCATGGTTCTTATGCTTCCTTTTTCAACAGCTGCTATAAAAGAAGTATACAGTTCTGGAGGAACCTGAAACATACAATTTCTTCAATTAGCTTGAATGTGTTGGAATGTTCATTATTTGGAAAGACTCAACAGATATGAAGCCAAGCACACTTGTATATTGGTACCTGAGGAGCTACCAAAGTTTTCAAATAATTGGCCATTTCACCATTGCCAAGGGAAGGTAATTTTTGGCCAGGCACATCAACCAAACAACGAATCTCAGTACTACTGATGGGATAAAACAAAACGGGTGAAGGATCACCTAAAATCACGTGTCCATGATTTGCATATGGAAGATTACAATTCTCCAATACCAGACCAACAAAATGAGAGGGTACTTCAACCTGACAAAATAACAGACATTATAAACTATCAATTTCATATGTGAAGTATTACTCTCTCCCAAATATTAGAAATCACGGTAAATTATGAACTCTTCAAATCATTCCTTAAATCTCACTAGAATACATCAATTTCTCTTCACATTGGTCCTTAAATCTTACTAAAATACATATTTTAAGGACTAGACTGATAGATTTTCCGATACTTAGGTAACATTAGTGGTTCATTCACAACAGCTTTAGTTTAGGAACTCCTATTCATATTCAACGTTGAGAAACAACAACTAGAAACCTAGACCCTTACTTTAGGATTGCAAAGAGAACGCCTCAAGTTGGAAAAACATCCATCACATACTATGGTGAGGGGAGCCTTTGCTGTGAACTCTTGTCCACTTTTGGTCTTGTACTGCACCCCTGTGATGGTTCCTTTTTCTTCAAGTAGAGATGTGACAGTTCCTTGTTCTAAATTCACACTGCAGAAAATTAGGATGAGAATATAAGAGGGCTAAAACATAGGAAAATTTATTCTTTTTAATTTAATCAAAATGTAAAGAGTGTTAAAAATGTGTACTTAGGAAGAGCTGAGGCCTTTTCTCGCATTCTCTGTATGAAACGGCCATTATGAAAGCTTCTCCCGGAAATGTCAGAGCTAAATTTTTCCAAGGGATAAGAGAGCTTGGTATTTTTGCCATCCTTATACAGAGCATACCCAAAGATTTGTTGAGCATCAATGTCACCCACACAATCTGCAAGTATTCAAAACGTCCATCGGTTAAAAAACCATGAATTTGACCAGCAGAATCAAGGAGCTTGTTAACCAAGGTACATACTTCATTTGTTATTTGTTACACCAGCATCCACCTATGTATTGCCATGGTAAGATGGTTGACTTTTCTAATAACTATTTTAAATGATGGTGATTTCTATTTAATTGACAATCTAAAAATTTTCAGTGTTACATTATGAAATTTATACTCTTATTACCCTGAAGGCCTAACTCAATTAACTTCAAATATCCTCCAGGTTGTAGCAATTCACCCACAATCCTGTCAGGTTCACTCAAATCCCTTTCAATCACATATACTTTCCGTCCATCCTGTAACAAAGAAGCACAAAACAAGATTATTTGATTACTCTCCAAACAAGCAAATGCTTCATTCAAACAAAATTTAAGAGGGTCTCCAAAACTTCTATACCATATTTTTCAAGTTATTATTAGAATGCAACTATTGCAGTGCTATCCCATAAATAAATCACATGGACCATTTAACACAAAAGTGAATATTGTCGAACAATCACATTAGAAATACTAATGTCCAAATATATATACTTTTCACATAAAAGTTTAGCCATTAATCATAATTTCACTTAAAATTCACTCTAGTTTTCTTGCATCATCTTGAAGCTTTGTTTATACATTAACATTAGTTTTTACCTGTCACCAATCTTCTTAAACACATCTATCTATAATACAAGAGAAACTCAAATATGTGCAGAAATAGAATTCTTGTTACCTTTCCAAGTGTGTAAGCAAGAGCAGCACCAGCAACACCAGCACCCACAATGATGATGTCAGTACTTCCTGCAGCCTCGTGTGAATATATTCCATTTTCTGATGATTTCTTCTCACTCTCGTAACTTTTTACATGAATTGAACTTGAATCCGTGACCTTCTTTGCTCCAAAACTATACACAAGATAAAAAAACGCGAAACTACAAGCCATGATCCCTCCTAGAATATACTGATAATCCATCCTCTCGAAGAGATGGGGTGAAACTGGGATAGGAAAAGATGGATTGAACAATTAGAATGGCAGTTATGAATGAGAAAGATATTTTTCTGGTTTCTTGGAACACCTCTTTGTTCCTGTTTACGTGTGACTTATGAATTTTAACAATTGCTACCATAAGCCAGACTTTGATTTTATAGGGGAAAGTGGTTGTACATACTTAAGTAACAAGTATAGCTTGTGTATTCCTTCAACTTTCTCTTTAGTTATTTTGGACACTCCACATTTTCCTTTTATATAAAGAAACCAAAGTTTGCTTCTTACCTACCTCTTTATACTTTTCTTCTTTACCTTGTCTTTTTGTTTCTCACCATTTGTATGGTTCATGTGGTTGGATGTACTTTTGGGCATGATAGCACACCAACATTGAAGGATTTTACTAATCCTGCAATAGTAGAGACAAAAATCATACTAAACTTTTGCAAACTAAAAATAACTATCTTTTTTCTCACCTCATTAATTTTTGTAATAATGGACTACTACATATGATCAGATTATTAACTTTGAACTTAAATATTAAAATACATACATAACCGGAGAAAAATATGAGAATGTTGTTGTGGTATGAATTTTAACGCTTGTCTTTTACTAAGAATTTTATGAGAAGATAAAGGCTTAAACTTTAAGTCTACATGAATAAAAAAAAAGTTAACTTTTTTAAATAAATTTTAACCCAAAATACCCTTCACACACGCTAGATGAGACGCGTTGACCTAGCTATATATTAGGATCATTTGTAAGGTATCTCTACACAAGCTAATATAAACATTTTTAATAGAAAAAATAAGCAAAAAAATAAAATAAAATGATTTTTTTTATAAACTAAATATATCTATCATTGTATTTAATTTATATTAAATTGAAGATCGATATTAGGAATTAAGTTATCTACATCTTTAAATTGATATATGTAAGGTAATTTAAAACTTACGAAATAGCTAAGTATGATAATTATTTTTGAAACATAATATATTTCATTTATATGTTTAAAATATGGTCTCGTGTTATACGTGGAGAAAACAAAATTTATATTAGTCCTCTCGCATTGCACGAGTTGAATGCACGTGCTCACGAAGCTGGTCATTTATATTTTAATAATACTAAACATATGCACCATTTTGTTTTTTTTAATGAATGGTTGAGTATTTAAAACTAAATAATAGAACACACTTTTATGAATAATTATCATATGTTACTTTTATTTACTCTCAGTTTATGTTATTTTTTCTATAAATACATAGTATAATTGATTTCCAAATATTAGTCAACTTAATTTGGTTAAGTTGAATAATTTTATTGAATGCATGTTTAATATAACATACATATCCAAATATTATTAATGTTAAAAGTGTGGCTAAGAATCAACGTGTAAACTAAAGTTATTGTGTAACATATTGAAAATTTTTCTTCTAAACCATAACATTTTCTCGAAAGGTGTAATGACATTAAGGATGCATGGTGATAGTTAGTTACATATAAAATCTACTAAAGTTAAAATTTTGTTAACTCCATATAATCTTTTATACTTAGTTAAGAGTTAAGCATGATCAATTTTTGTAACAAAAATTGGATGGACCCGCGTCAAGTTTGAATACAAAACTATTTATAAGTTTGTTTATCACTTTAACCATTTTCTTTTTTGTAAACGGTATTGTTATTTTTCATTTTTGCATTTAAA